GTGGGAGCATGGGGGGGGGGGGGGGGGTTGGGAGTTTCCCGCCTAATGAAAAAAGGAATGAGGGGGTCGGTTCAGCCCCTTCTCTCAACTGAACCGATTTGAGCCAAACCGGCTCAGCTTTGGCAAAAAAAACCCCCGTGTCGCTTGTCTTATTACAAATTATAGCCTTTAATACTTTGCAAATAACTTCATGTCCTTAGTGCACATCTTGAACACTTTCTGTCGCTTATCATGATAGTTTAATACAATTTTCAGATCTTTGATCAACTTATAACCTTTTTGAAAGCTACCAAATCTTAATGGATAACAATGCAATATTTATATCAAATTCTGCATGAGCCATCCAAACTTAAAGGCAAGAAAATTTAAAATGCAAATTTTATTTATTTTTGCAACAAAGACAAAATATGTCTTAATAATCAATTTCATAAGATGACGTATATCTTTTTACAACCAATCTTACTTTGTATCACTCTATGCTTCCATCCGTGCTTTATTTTAATGAAAAAAAATCATTTGTATCCTACAACATTTTATCTTTTGGAAACTCAACAATATTCCAAATATGATTTTTTCAAGGCATTCTTCTATCCTATCATGGCATCATTCCAATTCAATTTTTCTAGTACCTCAAAATTTTTTGAGGTATTTTAATAAAGTTAGAGCTGATGTTTCTAAGGCTTTATGTGAAGAAGAAATTTTTTGAAGACATGCATCGAGATATGAGACATAGTAGTGAATGTGTGCTGATTAGTTCGTTTTTGTTACCTAATGATGATTTTCAGACCTGAGCTTGTTGGAGATTTTGGTTGAGCTTATTCCTCGTATATACCTAAAAGGGTAGAACAATTAAAGTTTGTGTGATTTGAGTGTCAAGCTGGAAGAGTGTGGTTTCAGAATGGTTTTTTCTTGTTAATTATTATCCCTCTAAAATATAGGTTTGATTGAAGAAACTTCATTTTTCATCAAAGAAGATATCTTTTAAAGCGAAGAATCTTTCGGTGGTTACATGATAAGGCATACCCTTTTAGCGGAGAAATTTCCTACAAAGACACATTGGAGTGTTTCGAAATTATTTTACTGTTGAGAATAGTGATCAAGAACATGAAAAGTGATTTTTGTCATAAAAAATGAGAGTCCATCCTCTTCTTTGCCTTGGTTAATCATTTTCTTCACAGTGAGATCCAAAAATACACAATAATTTGTGAAAAAAATTAAGTTGTAGTTGTTATTTAATGATTTTATAGATTGACAGAAGATTTACTGCAATATGAGGGACATGCAGAACATTATTAAAGGAAAATATAAGAGAAATATAAATACCCTTTTGACATGCCAAAATCAATAGGAAAGCATTAGCTACGTTAATTTTTTTGCATTACTGGGACAGCATCCATATATTTGAAAAAAAGATGGAAAGATTTGTCATATGGTTGGTAACTCCTGAATCTAAGATTCAAATTTTAAGGAATTAAAAACACAAGAATTAGAATAAAAAGAGCAAAGCTCAAAAAAAATTTCTAGAAAGTTAACCAACTTCTAAGTTTGTTGATTTCTTTTGAGTTGAAAATTCAAATTCCAAAAGGCAAGTTTGCCCTTTTGAGTTACCGTTGTTTTCACATAATTTTGGGGCTTACATGAATTTATAACATTTTCTTCTGATTCCACACCAAAAACAAAGTCAACATGATGTTCAAGGATATCCAAGTGTTTAACATGCATCGCAATCATCCTAAACTGTTCGTGCTACAAGAGATGACATGAAATTTGCATTTCCACATCCAGTGACACAACCTAAGAAAGAGGAATCAAGCTTGCTGCATGTGTTTGGAGGGAGAGGGAGCGAGAGATAAAGAGAGAGAGGGCTAACCAAAAAAAGGGCAGACACCAAACAACCCACTTGGGAATTCAACAAATTTGGAAAAAGTCATAACATTTTGTCAAGCTCACCTGTTAGAGAGGAAACTTTCAGTTATAGTGAGGTCCGCAGCTTATAGCCTATTTATGTTGCTTTTAAAACCTTCAATCTCAATGGAATGCTCTAGCGAGCTTTATGGTAGAAGCTCAGTTTGTTGAGTGCAGGATAGTATATAAAAAGAAAGGGTTTGTAGAAAAGAAATTCAACAAGCTTTCCAATTACGCACGGAACATAAGATAATTGGACCGAAATAGGTAGTCTTGATCTCATGTAGCCAAACAATCTAAAAAAGAAGACCCGTGTATCTTTTCTATTCTTTTTTAAGCAAACCTAATCTGACCATCACAAAAAAGGAAAAAAAAAGTTACCAATCAAACAGAATCCATACAAATGGCCATCCTGTGGATTACCCGTGCATAAAATATCTTCCCAGAATGAAACTAATTTGACAATATATTTTCCATTAGGAGATTTTAAATATTTATAATATCAATGAGAACTACTATAATCATGAACGGAGGTGGTGTTTACAAACAAAATCTTCAGTTTGCATCTTTCTTAAAATCTACAGATAATAAAAAAATATACAGAAATAGAAAACATCAAAAACACCTACCAAGCGGGAAGACATCTCTGCACTCCCAACAGCATATGATCGTCCAGAACCCAAGGCACCTTCTTCGTATCCCCTTACACTGTTGGTTCCGCCTATTGCAAATGCTTCATGAGGAGAGAAATTTCCCACCACATGGCCGCCAGATAAGCTGAAACGTAGTCATTATTTAAAGAAAATTTCCAACTAGCATAAAAGAGTTCCACAAGCAGTAATGTTCATGTGGTTATCCAAAGATGGTCATGATAAAATAATAGGAAATTAGTAATAAACTAAACCAAAATTCAATTTTGACTATTAACCAAATATGAAAATAAGTTAAGAATTGGCATAAAAAACTGATATCAAATATTACTGCAATATATGATCAATAAATCCAAACACAATATTTCCTTCACAAAAGTAAATAAAAATTACATAAATCATGTGAGGCAGCAGTAATCTCTAAAATTTATTTTGTCTAGTTGCTAGCAAGACTAAATAGTTATGATCAGCAGCATACTCCGTTTCACACCATAACTTAAAATTACAGATCAATTTAAGCTTGTTACTCTGCGCTCTCCTCCTTAATGTTCATAAATAAAAGAGAGATTTATTAGGATATGCTCTAATAAAGCACAAAAAAGTCCCGTGGGATGCACATAAGTATGGATGGTTATACATAGGTAAATATGAAACAAAAAACCGTTCATTTAATGAAGTTAAATAAAGAGAAAACACTTTATTGTAGAAATATTTTCTATAAATCTAAACATATAGCCAAGTATACTTTAAATAGGAAACTAATCGTGGTGAAAATTAAACCAGACTGAGCTGAGACAAACCATAAATTAACAAAATTAATAAGCGAAATTTGACTAGGTGAAAGTCTAATATCATATTTCCACCTTAAATTTTGGAAAATTAAAGAAGAATACAAAATTGGTGGACTCTATGATACGATGAAGAATAAATATTATTTATTTATAGAAACCTATAAATTTCTATAAATTAAACTATAAATTAAACTACTAAACTATTAAGACTAGAATTAAACTATAAATTGGGCCATTAAAAGACAAAGAATTTAAACTATAAATTTCTTAAGTCAATCGGGTTAGAGATAGGTTGTTTGTAGCTGAAATAGTTATCAGTGAGAAAATTATAAATTTGATCATCATTTAGGTTCCTCAAATTGGATTAGACGAAAGCTTTAAGAACATAAATCTACAACAAAAAAGATAGTTATTGGAGGGGATTTAAATGGACATATAAATTTTGATAGGATGGGAAATAGAAATAGCAATGGTAAACTCAAACTTTAAGAAACAAGGAATCTTGGTTACTTATGAAAGTAGTCATCAGATAAAGAATAGGTCTTTCTTTGAAGGAGAAAAAAAAAATCTTTTAGAGAAAACAATAAGATGATTCCTCGAGGAAGTTTGACAACATGAGATTAAGTAATATTAATGAATTTAGATCTTAAATATCTAAAAAAAATAATTAAGAGAAAATATCACCCTATGTTAAAATGGTAGAAATTGAAAAGTGAAAAATCGTTGATCTTTCAATATTTGGTTGTCAGGAGGCAAATAGAAATTCTTCTAATTAAACTAAACCTGAATTGGGATAGATTGCTGATGTAATTAACAAAATTGTTGCAAAATTTTAAGATACTAGAAATATGTCATACATTCATAATGAGACATGATGGGGTGAGGTACAGATGTCTACCAAGGAAAATAAATGTGATTTAAGAAGTTCTAAAATTTGAAAAACAATGAGATTTATCATTATTACAAAAAAAGCTAAAAGTCCTATGCTTGGTTCAGCACAAATGTTAGTTTTTCTTCACCTCTCTGTCTCGCTTCTTGCTCATCTGTTGATAAAAAATTTGAACGCTCTTCCTCTGTCGGTAGAAGCACATACTCAACTATTCACTAATAAGTTCTACATGTATACAAATTTAATTTCAATGACTTCTTCCTCCTTTTCTTCCTATTATATCCATATTACTAAGTGTCATCTCCACTGAATCTCCGATTCAATGTGTAGAGCAAACATTTAGTCAATTGGGAGATTAAAGTCAAAATTGGCCGCCTCCTCTCAAAAGTGTGAAGCTCATTGGTGACATAGTCTATTGGAAGATTCTCCGAAGGGTAGATCATCACAAGGTTCATTAAAATAGGTATTTTTCTTTGGAACTCATTATTGACAAATCATGTTAGTAGCGGATTTCTAGTAGTACCAAATACCAAGCATCTTCCTATTTCGGTATCTTCTTCCTCAAGATGCTTCAACCTCCACCTTTTTTTTTTCTTTTTTTTCCAGGACATTTCAATGGTAAATTCTTCTACTTAGGTCAAAGTGTCATCCTAATGTTAATCTTAATAAGCTTGCTTGGATTAGTGTTGTCACCGCAACAAATATCAACCTAAAATATAGTTCTTCATTGACCCCCGATCGCAATAGTCTTTCCGTATATTTCCTTCAATACGAAACTTTTCCTTTACAAACATCGAACTTTTGTGAACACTAGCAATGATGGTTTTAGGTAACTTTCTTTTAGTGGCAGGGATCAAATGCTGTTAGGCCCACAAATATTACTTTCTATTACTACAAAAGTTATTCCTTTTTTATCTATTTAAGATTCTCAAAATTATTCAAGGTATGAATAGACGCTTCTAGTTCCAAGCCTAGCTGAGAAACAAGTTGGTCGAGCGATAATTACTGAGCTCTAAATTTAGGGTCATGCCTTCTTTTTTGTCTTCAAGGTAGATTTTCTATATTTGAAAATGCTTCGACAACAAGACATGTTGCGCTAATGGCTCGATCGACGAGGTGGTAGTGTTGACAAGCACTAATAAAATCTTCTACCCAATATTAATCCTCACCACTGTTAAAGCTTTAAGCTAAGTCAGTATTTCAAATATGTAGATTCTTTTATGAGGGACTTCCACATTAGTGGATGCTTTGGTAGGCTTCATTTCATTTACAAGCTTTGGCTGCATGTCCTTCAAATAGTTTAGAAACATTAGGCTTCCTAGCATGGCCTCGAATAAGTATTCCTTAAACAAGGATAGAAGCAAACATCACGATAACAGCGGGAATTTCTTGGTTAATTAAATTGGATATTAGCTTCAACTTCTCTAGTAACGATTACAACATTAACCAGGTAGATAATGACACTTTGCTCTAGCTTCACAATGAAAGTAGTATTTTGAAGGTCCATTGTAGATAATTAAAAAATTGGAAAGAACACTTAATATTTGATATTTCACCTCACCCCATCACACCACACCACGCTGTAAGGATATAACAATATAATAATGATACAAATGAGGAAGTTCTGATGATGAGTGCATGAATTTAAATTATAATCAAACGAGATAAAGCTCATGAAAGATTTATTTTGAGAAAGATTTTTTAGTTGCTACAATAGAATATTTGATTAGCTAATAAGGAAAAAAGAAATCATCCTTAGCAACAACATGAGAAATATGTGAACTTCAAAAATTTGTGCTCGATTCTCCTAGGAGAATTTTCAAATTTTTAGAAGTCATTCTTTTATAGAAAAGATACTACTAGAGATTTTATCCTCCTTTTAAATCAATTTTATGATCAAATTCCAGGTCATCCATAAACAATAACAACTATGGTCAACTACCCCTTGATAACAAGACAATTTTTTATAAAATCTAACCATTAAGTGCTGAGTATTAAGCATGTATTAGTAGTAGTTTGATTTTAGAATGTAAAATATTATTGCATTTTGCTTATAATAAATGATGGTAGAATGATAAAAAACTAGTTCGAGACCTAGGATTCTATAATTCTGAATTGCAATTGATCCAGATCTATTTAATCAACAGAGTACTAGCCCAAACTGACCGAATAATCCTTGTCGGGAGTTAAAATTATGTCGCTTATGAGGACTTTATAGATCAGGGATAAATGTTTCTCTAAAGAAATAATTTCAAAATAAACCTCACCTAAAAAGGAGCTTTGTTCCCTATCAACTGCATCATACAATTCACAAATCAATGAGGCCAAGCTATTAAGAAACAACCAAGAGTTGACCATGATCATATTATAATGGCACTATTTTGTAGTGACCCACCAAATCAAAAAAACTTAGTAAGAATCAATTCTTTTTTTAGTGTAATTTAGGAGTAAAATAACAGATTAAGAGAATATAAGCCATGTCCATGCTAATGTGAGATCTTTTGAGAGAACTGACAAAGATACATTTGATATACCATTGACTATCTGTGAGCCTAAATCATAAATTTATCACATTCAATAGGTTATTATAGAAGGTGAATGAATTTTGTTCTTAGCTCTAAGAAGTGAATTTCACATAAATGATTTAAATTTCATAATATTCTTGATATTTTTGTACATATAAATTATTGCATATGGATTCGATCCCAAAGTGATTTGCATAGGACTTGTGGGTTATTTTATGACAAAATACTCTCTGATTAGAATCTTTCATTTACATGACCATCATAAGAGTAGTTATTTTATATGTTATTTGCAATTGCAAATTGAAAGCTCGGTGTTAAAGATAGACATTTGATGCAAATTTACGCCAACACAATCATCATCCAAGTTTTGTGTGATAATTTCATGAATATTTGTTTGAATATCAATTTAATTCATATAAGCATTTATTGCATTAAAGGCCATATCCACACCATTTTTTTGCATAGAAAATTATGCCTATAAGTTGAATGTATTATCATATTGATACCATTCTAGGGCGCCTAGAAGTGCTTTGGGAACGAGTTTTCTAGGATGTTGGTTGTGTAATAGCAAGGAAGTGATAAAAGAAGTTGTCGCCGACGTTGGGAAGGGTGTAGGAAGTAAAATTTGTAGTTGGACAGCAAATGAAGGGAATGCAACAACTATTTGAACTAAAAATAGCAGTCCAATGATGAATTGCCAAGGTACGGGTGACTAAACAGCGAACCTGAAGCAAAAAAATGGCAATTTTCTATTATGACCGGCATCTGGAAGCATGTTTGATGGCTATCTGGATGAAAACAACAAGTAGAACGAAGAACGAAGAACGGCAAACGGCGGGATACCCACAACAAGGTGGATCCACCATCTTTTCATAGGCAAGCTATAGACACACCACATGCTTAAGGAATAATTTACAGCACT